CAGTTGTCATGTTGTTTAGCAGGCCCAGGCTGGGCTCAAACTCGCCGGGCTCGAAACCACCAGCCTTGGTGAATGTGGTTGGCGCTCTACTCACTAAGCTACACGTGCTGAGCCTGATCTTATATTTTCTGAGGGTAAAAAGGAACACAAATGATAAGGTGTAATTATAGAATTTATCAGATTTCATAAATGAAAATGTGAAAAACTTCCAAAATAGTAACCTTACCTTTATATAAATTAAAAGCAACTGTTACCTGTGGTATCAATTGGCCTCTATAGTTTACTGTTTAAAAACTTTGTATGGTCAGGTGTGGTGGCTCACACCTATAATCCTAGCACTCTGGGAGGCTGAGGCAAGTGGATGATCGAGCTCTGGAGTTCCAGGCCAGTCTGAGCAAGAGCGAGACCCCGTCTACTAAAAACAGAAAAGTTAGCCAGGTGTTGTGACAGGCTCCTATAGCCTCAGATACTCAGGAAGCTAAAGCAAGAGGATAGCTTGAGCCCAAGAGTTTGAGGTTGTTGTGAGCTATGATGTCACAGCACTCTACCCAGGGTGACAAAGTGAGACTCTTGTCTTAAAAAAAAAAAAAAAACACAGCAAAAAACTTCCTAAAACATTGTATGTGTGAAAAGTTCTTTGGCAACCATTTAATGAAAAATCATTTTATAATGTTCAAATTTATTTTTAATGTATTCTTTTTAAAAGTCCTAGAAATAGTGCAGCACTGTAGCTCAGTGGATAGAGCGCTGGCCACATATACCTAGGCTGGTGGGTTTGATCCCGGCCTAGGCCAGCTAAACAACAATGACAACAACAACAACAAAATAGCCAGGCTTTGTGGTGGGCACCTGTAGTCCCAGATACTTGGGAGGCTGAGGCAAGAGAATCGCTGACGCCCAAGAGTTTGAAATTGCTGTGAGCTAATGATGCCATAGCACTCTACCCAGGGTAACAGCTTGAGACTCTATCTCAAAAAAAAGTCCTAGAAATAAAAAACAGAATATCTTCCTAATCAGCCTAGTCTCATGGGAATTCCTTTCTCAACACATAGGTAATTTGAATATTAACCAAATTGCAAAGCTACAACCTTATGTTGAGTTTGACTGCTTAACTTGGAAACCATTTTGAACTTTAAGGCATTAATAAATGTATGTTAGCCAGGTGTGGTGATTTGTGCCTTTAATCCCAGCTTCTTGAAAGGATGAAGCAGAAGTATCATTTGAGACCAGGAGCTTAAGACCATCCTGGGTCACGCCTGTAATCCTGGCACTCTGGAAGGCTGAGGCAGGTGGATTGCTTGAGCTCAGGAGTTTGAGACCAGCCTCAGCTCAAGAGTTTAACCCATCACTGCTAAAAATAGAAAAACTAGCCAGGCTTTATGGTGGGCACCTATAGACCAAGCTACTTGGGAGGCTGAGGCAAGAGAAAGACCAACCTGTACAGCATAGCAAGAACCTGTCTTTAAATAAATGAACCAATGAGTGAAGGAATATATGTTAAGGTAATCTATTAAAAAAAATAGATAAAAATAAAGGAAAAAATATGGTGTCTAAACAACAAAGTGTTTTCTATTGAAAACCCTGTATTTTATTTTGTACATTTCAGGTGTGAGCATACAGTTTCTTTGTTCCCCTAGACCTGAGGAGCCTATTGAACATGTCACAGCGTGCCTACAGGCCTTGCATACCTTGCTAGATTCTCCTTATGCTCGAAGCCATATTGCAGAAGATCAGGTATAGTGTTTTTCTATAATAATTTTGTTGTTGTTGTTGTTGCAGTTTGGCTGGGCCAGGTTTGAACCTGCCACCCTCAGTATATGGGGCTGGTGCCCTACTCACTGAGCCACAGGTGCCACCCTATGATAATTTTTTTTTTTTTTTTGCAGTTTTTGGCCAGGGCTGGGTTTGAACCCGCCACCTCCAGCATATGGGGCTG